AAATCAATACCTTCACATGTAAAGATCACACGAATTGTTTCAACTCTGTTCATACTATGAAGTTTAATATTGCTTTATTTTATGCAGTATTGTTTTCATATTTGCATTTAATTTTAATTTCAATGTTTACAGACCATTGTACGTTCAATATTTACATATCATTTTAATTTCAATATTTAAATGTTATTTGAAGAAATATATTATAATGCATAATATTAAAATAATATACTATATAATACATAATTTTTTAAAGTAAAATACTATAATACATAATGTTAAAACAAGACGCTCTCGATTTCCTGATCGGCAAGTATTCAATTTCTGCAGTTCTCAGTTATTACTTTATCATAATTATGGTTAACAAAAAGATATTCTTCAAATTGTTTTACTTCAGACTGATTCATGTTTTATTTAAATATTTCTTCAAAGGCAAAAATTCATTAGCGAACATCGACTTGCAAAACATGCATCAGTGCAATTGACAAATAGTATGTCTATAGTACAATAATAACACAGTGCCTTAATACATTCTTAATTTACATTTCCATTGGATAAAATCGTATAGAAAATGAACTGCACAACTTAAACATACATACGATGTGTATTGTATATTGTACAAAAAATGAAGAGTGCTTCAAGTGTTTATCGTCAGATGTTAAGATTTTGTGTAGATAAGACGTCCATAATTTTATAACATGATTTTCTGTCTATCAACAAACGGTGGACCTTTTCGCTAAAAATATAACCGAGTATAATTAAAATCATTTATAAGTTTATTTATCAATTTTTTTCAACATATTTTTTAAAGTATTCCTAGATACGTTATTTTTTCTCTATGTAAACCTTAATGAAAATTTAAATGAATTGTCAGTGGTCCAAAAGTGTCCATATATTAAATTAATTTTGCTATAAAAATTGCTGCTTACTACTAATAAAACCTTATCAACCACCAAAAATCTAAAGGCACCATAGTGTTTTAACGATACATTACCTCGTATAATACGATGGTATCGATTTCCATCAAGTCCTGGATAATTTAAATATTTGTAGAAATGAGTTCGCGTGGAATCTTAACAATCGAAAAGTTGATGCGCAAGGTCACTGTAAGAGCAATCGTGATCATAACGGAATAGAATCGAGTGCGAATATATGTATCACGTGATAATACTATTTGAAATTCCGTGAATAACAATTTCTTGCGGAAGAGAAAAAAGACGGATGACCGGACATCCGTTTAGCTCGATCGCAACACGTGCTTCGTACATGGTCGGTTACCGAAGGCGAACTTAAACTTTGCGGAATGCGATATAAGAAACCGGCTCAGCTCGCAAGGAAACGACCAACAACGAAAAAGACTCCGAAGATGTTTTTAAAGCATGAACGTAACCATCCTCGTCACCAATTCAAGAGAATCCTTGACGTGCTATTTCGCTCGCAACGCGACGCTCCGCGCTTACCGATGGTCACAGAACCGCGACTGATTAGCGCAGTTCAGTGCAGTTAACCTTTTGTGATCCAATTTATGTCTGTTTTTCTCTAACATTTGTGTCAAGTGGTCCACGTAAACGGTAACTGCAAACAGTATTTTAGCGTTAGCTTTATGTTTTGAATAGAAAATGCATATACTGTCAAGCTTGCTGTAATATTTACAAGGTATACCAATTCAAAATCGTTCATCAAATTTTGGAGGATCGTAAAGCGGAAGATTCAATCTTTAAAATTTATAGTAAATTCAGTTATGGAAAGAATTTTCTAATGTATTTTGAGAAGTTTCATTTCTAGCATTTCGAGAAGAAAGTGTGTCTTTATAATCTTCCACCAGATATAATATTATTATATTCTTGAAGTTTGAAATGGTTCGGATTCATTTTTTACAGTTTTTACAGTTTAGATATTAATAATTTTTCGAAAATCAGACATTCAAATACAGAAAATATAAGGAAAACTTTGTAGGTATTTTTTCGAAAATGAACGAAGGTCAAATTCGAACTAACAATAAGCTTTTAGCATGAATAAATTATTTTGCGTTATTATTCCATACAGTAGA